GGTCCTTCTATACTGGGAGCCGGAGGAATGGCCCCTCTGCTCACACCCGCCAACCGCTTCCTCCTCACACAGAACGAAGCCCACCCTCCTCCCGGCTGCCCGGAGACCTGCAGTCCCTGCTGCCGCTCAGGCTCTGCCTCCCTCCAGCCAGTCCCACCGGCCCGGCCTCAAGCCCCAACCCTCTCCTCTGCCGGCCACGCCTCTGCTCCTGCCTCTGCACCCCAGCCCTGCCATCTCCAACCACTTCCTGAGGAGCAACTCCATCCACCTCCTGGGACAGAAGTCTCACTGTCCAGACGGTGCCCAGACACACGTCACAGGGACGGGCCGTGTGCTTGGAGCTCTGGCCTAGGGGAGGGGTCGCCCACAGAGCTGCTCGGTGCTGGCCCCTGGCGGCCACTCAATGCACAGCCAGCAGGTAAAGGGAACTACAAGGATGTCCAGGATGGCTCCCGGGGTGGTAGGATGGGAAGGCAGGCAGGGAGCTGGGAGGAAACGCAAGGGGGATGGCGGGAGGGGTGGGAAACGCAAGGCGGATGGCTGCCGCTGCGACTCCTGTTCTCTGTTCTGTCCCCCTCTGTCCACACTCCTAAGAGCAGGTCTCTAGAGAGGCCCCGAGGCAGAGGACTGACTGAGCTCAGTCTGGGCCAGGCACCTTCAATACACGCTCACGCATCCTATTACCAGCCCTGTGGGCACAACTGTGAGCTCCGGTACAGAGGAAGCCACGGAGGCCAGGAAGGTGGTCACCTGCCTGAGGACACAGCTGGGGGGGCCGATGCGGGGGGAGCCAGGTCTGAGTCTCTGCTCTAACTCTTCTCCCGTGTGAACTGGGGACTACGTTTCCTCAGCTGTGATATGGGAACACCCACATTAGCTACAAAGGGTCAATGGGAAAACCAAATGGGGAAGGGAGGGGCACGCCAAGCCAGGCCCGGCACAGGGGCCCCAGGCAGCACTCCCTGCCTTCCTCAGGCCTCTGCTCACCGCTCCGGTGCTCTGCTGCCGGGCGTCCAGGGCTCCAGCCAGGCCGTCCGTAGCTTGGGGGTCTTCGTATTTCACCCTGAAACACAGAGGCCCCATGCCATTAGTGCTGCCCTTGCTGTAGGGTGTGCCTGCAGATGTGATGATGGAGGGGGATGGGCGGGGATGAGCTGGAGGAGGGAGCGGGTGCTGCTGGCCCAAGACAGAACCAGATCGCCAAGAGCCAACATCAGATTTGGCCCAACTCCAGGGAGGAGAACTAGGGCCAATGACCCCATGCTCACGGAGAGCTCCTATGCAGACACTCTGTTTGAGCAGTTCCCATCTGATCATTTACAAACTGTGGTTCTGAGCAAGGCTGCGTTTGAATGGGGAGTAAGCTCACGGGTGGGCGGCTGGGTGAGGCGCCCTCTGGTGCTGGCTCACTGCACGACACCCCCAGCCCTCCGGTCTGGCAGCAGGTGGAGGGTGATTCTAACCATCCTCTGGGGGTGCCAGCCAGCTGGGCACTGGTGGGGGGAGGGGGAGGGACGCGGCGCCGCCACAGCTCCCAGGCAGAGGGCAGGGAAGGGGGTGTCTGGTGGGTTTGAGGTGAAGTCTCAGGGGAGCAAGAGAATAAACCAAGAGTAGGAAGAGGACCTGGGCTAACGGGGGGCTTGGTGCCTCCCCTGACTGCTGCAGAGAGATGGGCGCCTGGGGGAGGCAGCCCTGACGTGTGGGGAGAACCTTTATGCTCGCTCTGAACCACAGCAGAGAGGAGGTGAGACCTCAGCCCCGGTCCGTCCAGCACTGAGGTGAAGAAGTGAGTCCGAGAATCCCAGGTGCAAAGGGACACCCTGCACAGGGAGGGGCGGGGGAGCACCCACCCTCTGCTGAGGCCGGGCTGCACCAGCTCCAGGCTTTGGAAACTGGAGTTGTTACACTGAATGCCTGCCATGCCCATTCACCCTCCTGGTACTTAAAGGGGCCTCTTGAATAAGCCCCCCAAATTCCCATGCAGCCACTTGGGAGAGCACCGGGGTCAACTCCCCCCATAAGATGTGCAGTCAGCCAGGGGAGCCGGCCATGAGCGAGCGCATGCCCAGCTGCATGGCTCGCGTTCCCGGCCAGCGGGCTGGAGCCTGGCTATCTGCAGGGTTTCGCTGGAGCCAACCTGAGGCGGATGGTGGACAGTGTGCTCTCATCCTTCCCGGATGGTGGGCAGTGTGCTCTCATCCTTCCAGAGCGCAGCTGGGTGCCCCTGGCTAAATCTGGGCAGTGAGTGCAACGAGGAGGAAGCGATGCCAAAGATTGCGCAAAGCCCTGGCCCAGGGAGGCCGGCTCCCTCAGGCTCGGAGCCGTCACGCTGCTGTCCCTGTGCCCGAGCACACAGGTGCTGGTGGATATGGCAGAACAGGGCACGTCTGGCCCTGGAACAAACAGAAACCGATGCTTCCCTTCCCTCCAAGAACTGCATGTTCTCTCCTAATTACTAATCCCCCCCCTCCATCTCTCTCCCTCTCACACACACACCTGCACAGCCCTGAAGGTTGAGGCTCCGCCATCACTAGGAGCCGTGCCTGCAGCAGTGGAGGGCCTAGCCACCCGCTGAAGCACAATGTCACAGCCCAGACAGGGCTGCAGACCTGGGCCAGGTGTCTGTGGTCCATGCCCAACACAGGAGGGAGGGAGGGCTGCTCCTCAAATGGTCCCTGTAAGGCCAGAAGCTGGACATGAGACACTTAGGGGGACAGAGCATGGGCAGGAAGTGGACCGTGTCCCCAGAACGATGATGTGGGAGAAGCTGAGGAAGGGACTCCCGCTTCCGGCAAAGCCTGGCTGAGGCGCCCCTGACCTGGCTGGCCCAGATGCCCCCTCGCTCTCCTTGGTGCCCCGAGTGGAAGGGCTGGTCAGGTGGAGAGGCCGGGACTGTGCCAGCTGTGGTCAGGGCTGGAGCAGAAACAGAGGGGCTGACAAGGAGCTGGCTTCCTGGTGAGTGGAGGCAGAGCCGGCACCAGATACCAGGTGGACAGACAGGCCTGGGAGGGTCCGAGAGTCCCAGGAGACAGGGTAAGGTGAGGAGACCAAAGGCCAGTCAGGAGACCAGGGCTAAAGAGGCAGCTGGAGCAGAAGGAAGGAGCCAGACAGGAGAACAAAGGGCTGGGGAACTCCGAGCTGGGGCACGTTCCTGCCCCTGCAGGGCACTGGCACTTTCTGCTGGGTGGAAGCCAACCTCGGGGCCCGCAGGACCCATGACCTGAGAAGGCACATGATGCTGTGTCAGACCACCTGCCCTACCCCTGCTCTCTCCTACCTCTGACCTTTGCACATGCTGTTCCCATGGCCTGAAACGGCCATCTTGACCCTCGCCCCCGATCCTGCTGTACGGGTCGCAGTGCCTGGTACACCCCTCCAGCACTCAGCACTGCACGGCAGGGGTCCGTATGCACATCTCTCTCCCCGAGATTGCAGGTCCTGGAGAGAATGTTCTGATGTGCTTTTCTCTCTCCTAGGGCCTGGCTCCAGTAGCAGCAAACATCAGCCAGGCTGGCGAGCCGGGCCAGGTGCCAAGGGCTCTCTGGTGTGGCCAGTGTGCCACCTGCCGGGGCCTCCTGGGCGGGCCACCTCCTGGCTGTTAGGTCCCACCAGACTCATTAGCTTCCACCTGCACAGCAGCCTCACGTGCCCTAACTCCATGGCAACCATGAGCCGCTGGTCCCAGAGCCCTAGGCTTGGGACTATAGACTCTGCCTGAATAAGGATGTGTGGCTCATGGCCCATCAGCCCTCCCTTTCCCAGAGCTGGGTACGGCCAGTGGGCAGGCTGTGGGCAACCCATGGGCCCAGGCGGGCTACACCTGGACATGCCAGAGTGGAGAGGGTAGTTCTGGATTCTTCAGAGGCCCATTGACAGTTTCCAAAGACACCGGCATGACCACTAGGGAGCTGGGGGTCCACTGGGAGGGGTCCTTAATCCAGAGCTTTCCTTGGCTGTCTATCTGGCCAGCCCCAGCCCAGACTTGGGGTCATGAGCAAGGGGCTGAGGACGAGCCTTGGCACACCGCTTCTGACCTGCCTACACAGAGTCCATCAGGGGAAGCTGAGGCAAGTGCTGGCCCCATGCCCTGACTGCCAAGGGCATCTCCCTGGAAGTGGGCAGCCCTATGGAAGGACAGGCCCCCGCTCGGTGCAGAGTGGGGAGACCTGAGTGGGATGGTAGGGACTGGAACGACGGAAATGACTGGACAAGCCCCTGAGGACTTATCAGGAGCCTCCCTGCCCCCCCAGGGGCTTGGTGCACTGGGCACAGAGCAGGGGAAACTGAGTCGCAGACACTGTCCTCGCACCAGACAGACCCAGGCTCCCCACCGAGGAAGCCTCAGTTTCTTCATCTGATCAGATCTTACGAGGTTCTGGCACGCAGCTGGTCAACCTACAGGCCAGCCTTCCCCATCCAGCTCTGCCTGCGGGGCACTGGGTCTGCCGCCTGGCCACGGCTCTGTGGGCCACGTGGGACTGACTTAGGGGCGGGAACTCTGCCACTCTGAGGGGGGACACCAGGGGGCCGTGTGCTTTTCCTCGGGGTGTGCCCACCAACAAGTGGGTTCAGGGAGAGAGTCTCCTCTGATGGGGAGTGACCCAAACTGCAGGGGGCCGCCACTCACTCTTTCCGTTGGTCGGCCAGCGAGCTGCCCCGTGTTAGGGCAAACATGTCAAACTCGTCCTCCAGGCGGCCGGAGGTCTCCAGAGACTGCAGGCCAGCCCTCACGCTGCTGGAGCCCAGGTCTGCGGGGACAGAGAGACACGTAAGACTCCGCCTGCTGCTCTCGCACGCGCCGTGGCCAAGCTGCTCCCTGCCGGGCCCAGGGCTGGTTCTGGGTGGGCAGCACAGAGGGGGGTGCACACAGGGCAGGATGCATAAACGGGGCAGCCACGTGCTGGCTGCGGGACCATGGGCATAGCTACCGCCTCACTTGGAGTGATTTCCTGGGCTTGGCATGAAGCAGGCAGTAAGAGTAAAACCAATCACAGTGATAGGTCAACCATTTGATGGCTAACGTGTGCCAGGAGCCCACTCCGGCCTGGCACTGCTCTGAGCCTGGCCCGTGCCCGAGTTCATTCAGTCCTCATCACCGGCTGTGAGGACGGGCCCATTCCTGCCCGTCCCAGAGGAGGAAGGAGGGCACAGGACGTTCCAGTGACTTGCCCACGCTCACCCAGGCGATTCAGGCCACGGAGACTTCAGTGTCGAGGGCAACCTCAGAACAGTGGGACTGCTGAGGCCCGGGAGGGCTCAGCCATTGTGGGCTGTGAGGGAGAGCCCCATGTCTTGTCCCAGATGCTCAGCCTTGTGGCAAGATTCAGCCTGGGACCCCAGTGGGGTGGGGTCTGGGCTAACATCCTGCTGTTGGGGCTCCAGCTCCAACTGTAACACAGGATGGCACCCCCAGAACTGCAGGGGTACCCGCACTTACTCATTCCTGCCAGCTGGGACGAGAGGCCGCCAGTGGCTGCTGGGTCAGCGCCCATGTCGATGAGGTCAGCTGCCGCCTCGGCCTCACTGGGGGCCTGGGGGAAAGGGAGACCCACCGTCATGCCCCTGCCGGTGGCCTTGCTCCCCTCAGCCAGAAGCACTGGCCTGAGGAGCTGTCTCCCGCGCCCTGCAGCTGTGGCTTCTCCCCTTGGCCTCTAGCTCTGCTGCTCCCTCTGGAGGGCGGGCAGACCCTTGGGCACCAGCTGGTGGCAGAGCTTAAAGGGACAGTGACATAAAAAGCTAGAAGGGGACTTTTCTAGGAGCCTAGACAAGAAGGTGCATCCTGCACAGGATATGGGGTGGTGATGAGCACAGCCCTCCTTTTCTGTTAACAAGGCACGATCTGGTGACAGCAAAGCCGTTTACCTTGGCAGTCTGGCCAGTCCGGAACCGCTCGAACCTACGAGACAGAAAGAGTGAGTCAGGGAGACAGGCTGAGAGGCGCCTCGGCACAGCCAGGCAGAGCCCTTCATGTGCCGTGGGTCGCCCCATTCTCCTCTAGTCTGTTCCCGTGGGCTCAGCATCAGCGCAGCGGTGAGTCTCGTTTGTCTGGGCAGACCCAGTGATGCCTGGCATCCGAGGGCACTATTAACTGTGCCCCTTTCACTTGCAGAAGTGACCCAATTTGGATTATCAACAACCTGGCCACTCCGGTCACGATCAGCGTCAGACAAACGAATAGGAATAGACTAGAGGAGAACATGGGATGCAGAGGTGAGGACTTCTGTGGAAGCTGCTCAGTAATCTACCTGTGTACCTGTGTGTGCCAGGGCCTGCAGTGGTATATGAAAGACACACATCCTTGCACTGCCCCGAGCCACTGGCCACCCTCAGACAGGCCTGGCCTTGGGCAAAGGGGGTTAAGAAGACCTGGGTCTGGGGTCTGTTCGAGTCATGGCCCTGGCCCTTGTTAACTGTGTGACCGTGGGTACGTTACATCACTTCTGAACTTGTCTCCTGTCTGTTAAAAAGGGGATGAGACTAGAACCTGCCTCCCAGATGTGAGGATCAGGCAGACACAGTGTGAGTGGTTGTGAACAGGAAGTACCACCAGGCAAAAGCCAGGCCTGCTCTTTCCCCATTGCCCGTGATCCTGGTGGGACGGCCATCAAAGGGCCCTCCTGTCCCCCCGACCAGTGGGCACAGCAAAGCTGAGCCAGTTTCTCTCGGGGACCTGCCCCTGAACAGAATGACACAAGGTGAGGAAGCATTTGGACCCATTTACTGATGGTGACACCTTGGGGACATGGTCTAAGACAGCGGTCACCAACCAGTGGTCCATAAGGCCTGAAAGGTTGGCGACCGCTGGTCTAGGAGGTTCTGCCCAGAGACCCCTGAGCCGCCCCAGGATCTCTCTGTCCCTCCTGCTCTGTTGGGAGGCCTCGCTGTTCACTCTCCTTTGGACTCGAAATGCTATGCATTTAATAGAGGCTATTCATCCAATCAATTCCTTTTCTAAGTCAGCCGGAAACGCTGTGTGTATGCAGTCAAAGAGCCCTAATTAAGTCCAGTAAGTGGTCCGAGGCCCCAGAGCCAGGCAGCGGTGGAGTGAGCAAGGACAACCAGCCTGCCTGGCTGCGGGCCCACACGCTCAGCCACCACCGCTGCCCTCGCCAGGGGCTGGACACAGGGACATCGGGCAGGGCTAACTGGCGAGGAGAGGAGAGGTAGTGGAAGGCGGGGCATGCGTGCCCACGCTGGAAGAAGACAGCTGAGGGTACATGCCTTGGGTGGCCGGCCTGGTGTTTGAGAGGAGATGAGAGGCCAGCCGTGTGGGGAGACCAGGGCACAGGGTAGGTGGGAGGGACGGGGAGGGTGGGCAGCTGCAAGGCTGGGTACCGTTCGTGGCGCAGGAACACGTTGTTGAGATTGTCGTTGACGATGAGCAGCTCCTCCGTCAGCTGCTCGTTGGCGATCCGGGGGATGAGCTCCAGGACCCGCTGCTGCATGGCTCGGCACGTCCGGTTGAGCTCCTGCCGCGGAAGCAAGTAGGACAAGCATGGGCACCGGACCAGAGCGAGGCCATCTCTCCTGGAAGGGCTCTGGCCCCTGGTGACCTTGGAGAGCAGAGCGGACTCCACACTGGACTGGAGCTCCACAGAGCAGCTTCAGGGGCTCCGCAAACGAGCCTCTGAATTCCACTTCTGTGTTCCACACTCACATTCACCAACAAGCTGGCTCCATGCAGACTTCATTCCCCTGTCGCCATCTTTGCTTAGTTGAACGGAGCTGCCAGGTGGCCCGGCCGAACAAACTGCAGCTTCTCTGGGTGTACTGGGGTATTTTTGGTAACCAAAACATAAAAGATAAACTGGATGGCCCTAGCTGGTTTGGCTCAGTGGATAGAGCATCGGCCTGCGGACTGAAGGGTCCTGTGTTTGATTCTAGTCAAGGGCACATGTCTGGGTTACAGGCTCGATCCCCAGTAGGGGGCATGCAGGAGGCAGCCGATCGATGATTCTCTCTCATCATTGATGTTTCTATCTCTTTCTCCCTTCCTCTCTGAAATAAAAAATATATATATTTAAAAAAATAAAAAATAAACTAGATGGCCTGGCTGGTGTGGCTCAATGGTTGAGTGTCGACTTATGAACCAGGAGGTCACGTTTCGATTCCTGGTCAGGGCACATGCCTGGGTTGCGGGCTTGATCCCCAGTGTGGGGTGTACAGGAGGCAGTCAATAAATGACTCTCTCATCATTGATGTTTCCCTCTCTCTCTCCCTTCCTCTCTGAAGTCAATAAAAACATATATTAAAAAAAAAATAAATAAATAAGCCCTAGCTGGTTTGGCTCAGTGGGTAGAGCGTTGGCCTGCGGACTGAAGGGTCCCAGATTTGATTCCAATCAAGGGCACATGCCTGGGTTGCGGGCTCAGTTCCCAGTGGGGGGCATGCAGGAGGCAGCCAATCAGTGATTCCCTCTCATCACTGATGTTTTTATCTCTCTCTCTCCTTTCCTCTCTGAAATCAATAAAAATATATTTAAAAAATAAATAAATAAACCAGATTAACACCAACTATTATCCACATTTTGAATTTTTGCCTCATTATTCTCAGACTTATTTAAAAAAACACTTTTATTTAGGAATGATAGATTTATAGAAAAGTTGCCAAGATAGTACAGAGTTTCTGTAACCCTTCACTCAACTTCTCCTTAGTCTGGCATTTGTCAGAACTAGGACATGACCATTGCTACAGCGCTATTAGCTAAACTATAGGCTTTGTTCAGGTTTCCCCAGCTTTTCTACTAACGCCCCTTTCTTGTTCCAGGAGCCCACATTGCATTTAGTCATCATGTCACTGATGGGCGCTTTTTTTTAAAAAATAAAGTTTTTTTTGCCCTATCCGGTTTGGCTCAGTGGATAGAGCGTCAGCCTGCGGACTCAAGGGTCCCAGGTTCAATTCCGGTCAAGGGCATGTACCTTGGTTGCGGGCACATCCCCAGTGGGGAGTGTGCAGGAGGCAGTTGATCGATGTTTCTCTCTCATCGATGTTTCTAACTCTCTATCCCTCTCCCTTCCTCTCTGTAAAAAATCAATAAAAAAAAAGAAAGAAAAAAAAAGAACCTGGAGTGTTTTTAAAAAAAATAAAGTTTTGTGTTTTTTGTTAAACATTGTTGTGAGACAGAAACATCGATTGGAAACCCAAGTATGTGCCCTGACAGGAAATCGAACCCACCACCATTCCGTGTATGGGATGACGCTCCAACCACACCAGCCCTTTTCTCCTGGAGGCATCACTGAGACTAGACGCTGTCCAACACTGATTTTGGATCTTTCTGGACCCTTTTAAACCGCCCCCTCCTAGGTCAGGCCTTCTCCTGGGATTTCCTTATCTGCCTTTCGAGTGACTTTCAACATCCGGTGGGCCTCCCCTCGCTTCCTTCCACGACCAAGAGCACTTATGGCTTTGTTTCTACTTCCTTGTCTGCTCAAGAGCAGCAGCTGGAGCCAGGGCCCTGGGTTCCAAACCCAGCTCTGCTGCTTACCAGCCATGGGACCCTGGGCGCATCACATGACCTCTCTACCTCAGTTTGCTGACCTGGAAAATGGGGATAAGAGTCCCTACCTCACGGGAGAGGGTAAAGATTAAGTAAGTGAATGTATATCAAGCATCCACATCAGAGCCTGGCACTTGGGAAGTGCTCGAGGTCCCTGGGCACCTCGCCCGCCTGCTCCAGCAATCACTCACACCCACAGCCCGGGCTTGGGACACACAAAATTAACTGCACTTCAGCAGCCCTGTGCTTCCTAGCTCCCTCACGCCTCTCTCAGCCCTCATGTGGTCTTCACAGTCACATGTCCTTTCGACTCTGAGACTCCGCCTTTCCTCCCGCCCGGAGGGAGGACCCAGGGCAGGGACGCCGGTCAGCTCAGGTTAGCCCTGCCCTCAGGAGTGTGAAGACAGAAACAAAATGAGACCATCACACCAAGCACCCCATCATCCCCCTCATGGGTTCTGTGGCTCCTGGGCCTTTGGGTCCCCCAGCTTTTTCGGTGCCTCTATGAACTGACCTTCCTGGGGGAGGTGCCTCTCCCCAAACCCAGCTCCTCCTGCTTCAGTGCCTGACCCTCATCCCTCACCAGCTGGGGATGTGACTGTGGAAAATCTCCTGACCCACAGGAGCGAAGACCCACAGCTCCCACCTGCCTCCGCCCCGACACCAGCTGCTCTCTCACGCCTGCCTGCCAAGCTTGTAATCTCAAAGGTGGAAATCTCGCCTACCAGCTTTTTCTCAATACCATTTATCCATAGCTTACTCCGGACCAGGCACAGTGCGTAAACCTTGTCTCATGCCAAACTTGTACCATGAAGGCTACTGTTAGAGAGCAATCTTACAGATGAGGAAACGGAGGCAGAGGAGCTATTCTGAATTCCAATCTGATGGAGTCCCAAGTCCCTGGTGTTAACATCTCCTGTGTGATGAAGGGGTTCAGAGCAAGCATGGGAACTAGTGTGGGTGGGAGGGAATGTGTGTGGTCACGTGAGCACAGTCACTGGGGGCGGATGCGGGCTCACCTGTAGCAGCTCCAGGTCTGCGGGCTCTGCCTGGGTGGGCACCAGCTCCGTCAGCATCTCCGACATCACCCTCACGTTCCCACTCACCATCTCCAGCTCGCTGCGCAGCTTCCCGATCTGAAACACACCGTCGCCCCGGTGAGAGAGGCCCGGGGCCGGAAGCCGATGCCGCCCACAGGGACTGAGCCTGGCGCCACCAGCCTGGGTGTGGTGCCCAGAGGAGCTGGCCTCCAGCACCCTCACTCGGCGCCCCCCTCACAGAGGCTCTACCAACCGTTATCATCTCCAAACTGGGGAGCCTGCTGCAGGGAGAGGCCGAAAGGAAAGAAGCGGAGGGCGGATGCACCACAGAGCCCGGCTGGAAGCTCCAGAGCTCCTGGGCCCACGGGCAGCTAACGAGGCCCGGAGGGCATTCCCCCGGAGAGGAGAGTCAGTGGCCGCCTCCCCCTCGGGGATGGGATTCTCCCTCTCTCCTCTCCTAGGCTTTCTGTCTTGCTCCTGGTCTGTTTGTGGTTCTGTGTCCCAGGCTCCTCTGAGGATGAGTCCCAGTACTGCCCCCACCAGGAGTACGAGACAGATTTAGCACTTGTTAGAGGGACAGGAGCAGGTTCTCAGTGATCCAAGGGCCGGAGGTCTTGGCTGGGGGATCATGGCAATCAGGCTGCAGTCCCTTCACCTGGGTGAGGGGGTAGTGAGTGGCCCTGTCTGATGCTGGGGGTTCGGTGGGGGCCGGGTCTCCTCGTGAGTGCAGTACACCGTGGGTGGCCAGAGACCACGGAAGCTCCAAAATTAATCCGGCTGAAGACTCCTTTGATCATGGAACACCTCGTGGGTCTCGTGACAATTAATCTAATTGTGACATTAATCTGAATGTCACAATGTAAATTTAT